ATCATCCCGTGAACTCTAGCATTTAGAGGTTGTCGCCATGGTGGAGAGACAATAGGGTTGAGTGTCTATTGTCTATTGTCTCAAGTGTTATTCATCAAAAAAATTTATTATTCATAAAAAAAAAAAAAGGGTTGAGTGTTGATGGTTGTGCACATTTTTTTGCACAAAAAAGATGCTGACCCCACTGGTAGAGAGTGAGTGATTCGTTCACATCTTGCATGTTCTACTCTCTTGTGTTTTCCCTTCTCCTAGAATGGAGTAGTCCCTTATTTCACTTGGGTGTTAGTAAACCCTAGCTACTATTATGTGAATGTTTGTATGGTTTTAATGATTTGTGTGAGGGTGTGTTTTTAATACAATGTTATGAGGTATTTTCATGAAGATTGATTGTGTTCGTACATTTCAATGTCTTATGCTATCTTAACCTAGGTAGAGGGAAATCCCCTTCTTTTGAAGAGGCTTGTAAAAGCTGGATTTCCTTGGGCAATCGTTGCCTCCTACTAGATTAAACTAGTGCAAACCTCTTAATTCATACTAGCACCTAGGGTTGGTTGTAATTTGGCCGTCCGAACTCCGATTCAAGGGTGAAGTCTTGGAAACACTTAGTCAATAGGTCAAGAGAGCTACTTTGGTAGCTTGAATCGAATTCCCTTGACCTATTGACCGAGAGAGAGTGGCGTTTGTTCACTTGTTGCACTTCCCTACAGTTTAAAACCGCCCTTACCACACGTTTTCATTCGATCCGAAAAGTCATAATTGCTAGCTAGTGATCGAGCTAGGTGAACTACCGAGATCCCTGTAGCTCGTCTCGCCATATCATCCATAGTAGGGATTGGGAACCGACCACGTACCGTCAACTACATTAAGGGCCTGATAATCCGTGCAAAACCTCCATGTGTTCATCCTTCTTCTTCACCAATAGTACCGACGATGAAAACGGGCTGGAAGTCGCCTAAATCAATCTGCGGTCATCATCTCCGCTACCTGGTGTTTGATCTCGGGTTTCTGGGCATGGGCATACCTGTAAGATCGTACGTTAACTGCTTCGATGCTCTCTTTGATTCGAATCCGGTGGTCAACCTAGCGCTTTGAGGGCAGCTGGTTCGGATTCTCAAATAGACCCGCATATCGGTCCAACAAAGCCTACAAATCAGGCTCCAGGGGCTACCCTGCGTCGAGCTCCAGTGGCCAACAGAGTATGGCCAACTCCACGTCGTCATACAGTTGTGGATCACCCCAGCCAACCAGCCCGGTCGTCGTGGTCATGCCCCGTAGCTCCCAAGTCCTTGGCCCTCCACTTGAACTGCATGACCATCTTCACCCAATCACTAGTCACCGGTCCTAGGCTCTTGAGCCATGGCATTCCCAAGATTGCATCGAACCCGTGTAACGGCAGCACATACAAGTCGAGGGGGACCTGGAACCTTTGAATCCTCATGGGAACCCCTTCCAGCTTCCTTTCGCACTTCACGTCGCCGCCACTGGCGGCCTTCACAGCAAAAGAATCGATGGGCGACTTTGACAGGTTCAGCCGTCACACAAACTCCTCTCCCACGAAGTTGAGGGAGGTCCCGCTGTCCACGAGAGCCACCGCCCTCTCGTCCGCGACCTGCGCCTTGAACCTCATCGTCGCCGGCCCAGCAGTCTTGACTGCGGCGACGATGGAGATGGTCTCTTCTCCCGCGTCACTCTCTTCCTTCCCTTCCGTCACTGTCGCCTCCTCCCGTGTTGTCGTTGTCGTTCCCAAAGGGGCAAGACCATCCGCCATCGCCTTCACGTCTCTGACCACCACCGGCATGTCCTCGGCAACTTGCTCGAGCTGCGCAATTACCTTCAGCAGTCGGATTTTGGTTCGCGTCTCTTGGTCCCCGTTTGAGAGCCTTGTCAAACTCATGTCGAAACGGAGTTCTGATACCAATTGCGAGAAACACGAATAACTCAAACAAGAATTGGGGATGAGAATAGAAGAATTGGGAATTGGGAAGAATTGGGATTAGAATTGATAGAGAGAAGAGTGATTAGGGATTTAGGAATTCTGTTGTTATTCTTGCTTAATCGAATTAACAAAATATGTAGCTTAAATAGTTCTCTCCCCAAACAATAATTATGCCCCAAATACCCTTCCTAGGCCGACTCGGCCCCTGCCTCCGTGCCGCTCACAATGGCTTGCAGAGCAGTTGCGCATTTGTTATCTCTCGAATCAACCTTCGAAAAGCAATCATTTAAGAAGTAATGATGAAATACATAACCATTTATTAGAGAAAAGAGTTGTTCCAATAGAATTTCACTGACATAGTCCAAATTTTTTATTAGATAATGATGATTTTTTATTAGATAATGATGATACCATTTAATTAGATTAAAAAGGGAATACAACAACAAACAATCTATACTACTAGTAGACACATGGAAAACCATTCACTAGAGTACTGTTACGCAACATCATTACAAATGAACATGAAAGGAAGAATTGGGACAAAGGATGAGTTGCACAAGGAGAACTGCAACATCCCAAACCGCAAGTACAGTCCACAAGAGCATTCTGTGTATGTTGACTGAATTCTCTTGCTCACTTGTTGTTACTTTTGCAGCACCACACAAGACTAGCTTGATAGTAGGTCATACAAACCCATCAACATTATCGTGTGTTCTCCAAGCTTCCGTATGTTTCCAATTTTAAACCCTCACTTAAACAATGAAATGATTAGAACACCAAACCCCATTGCAGATACTCAACCAGCTAAAATATAACCACATACTGGAAAATTGAGAGAAACCGGGACTTACCCAATGTCAATAATGACTCAAGCCACCACAGGAACCAAGTGAGGTGGGATGGGATTAGGTGCTAACCCTTATATGGGGTCAGCACCGTGATAACTAGCAAAAAACGCTACTAAAAACAACGAAATCACTACGGATTATTATAAAATCAATACAACATCTAAACTAAATCACTACTAACTCTTGGTTAGGACGGTGCTAACTCTTGTACAATTAGCACCGTAACCAGTCCCAAGTGAGGTAAGTGAACCAAGCCTCCCTCTTGAGAGTCATCAGATAAGCAAAGACAGCGGTGAAGAAGGGGGTAGTGGCGCCGACAGCCTCATTAAAGGACACCGAAAGGAAGCGGAGGGACGAATATGAGAAATTCATTTTTTTCATTTAAAGAAGCCAATCGATTATTCTCATATCCAGAAGAAGAACATCCAGAAGAAGAACCGCTGGAACTGCATTTATGGAGAATTGATTGACATAGGTGAGCTTTTGGTTTTCAGGGAACACAAGATTCCAGAAGATAAAAGAAGACCCTAATTTTCAGTTCATTCTAATAGCATGTTATGGAACTTACTCGGCCAAAAAATTGGAGAATGTGGAGTAGCCGGCTACCAAGTCTCAACGAAAGAAATATAGTCACTTCAATCTGGGAGGAACGCATGTGTCATTCGAATCTCAGTCCTTTAAAGCGACGGAGATTTCCAGCTTTTCTCCGTCGTAGCGTCGGGCTGTAGCTTCAACGAGAAAAGAAAGGGCAATGGCGGGAGCTTTTCCTCTGGTGAGAAAATGAGCGGTGGTAGACGGCAGGAGTTTTTCCTTTGGTGAGAAAGCTGCAAAGAGAAGAGGTGCTCCTCATGGTGTTGCAAGAATGGGGAAGATGTAGAGAGTGAGTTCCACCGAGAGTCTAACCGCCGCTCGTTCTGTTGCTCCTCGTGGTGTTGCGATAATGAGAAATTTGTGATAAAAGGGGTTTCGGCCGCGTGAACTTAGTTACAAAAATACCCCTAGCAAGAATGAAGGAGAATGCAGGGAATTTGAATGCTCAGAATTAGGGGTGGGCAACGGGAAACGGGTATTTGGGTATACCCGTACCCGTCCCATTTTTTGAGGGTTACGGGTACCCAAATACCCGTAATTTGTTTTACGGGATGGGACTTGGGATCAAGAATCGCTACTATGGGTACCCGCGGGTTACCCGTTAATACCCGTTTGGATATTACGGGTATCCGTTATACCCATTAGTCCAAAATTATTGTAAGTGATTTGCTGCTTAGGTTGGTGACGGCAGCACTTTGCGGGAATTTGGCTTAATTATTATTCATGTAACTCTGGGTATATTATATATATACATGAATACATCAGAAGTAAAGCTAAAGTAAACCACTTAAGTATAATTATAAGAGGATAATCAAATATGAGCATCATTCATCACGAGGATGGTTACCGTAAATCGCTTTTTTGTGGGCTTTCTTTACACGTAAATCATTTGTGAGGAGGTAATCCCAAACACAATTAAAACACAAGAGAGCTTCTCTTCTTCTTCCTTCGACGAGAAATGGGTAGCAGAACTTAAACTCGAAAAAACAGAGACAAGATATTTATGGGTATTTACGGGTAGTATGGGTACCCGTTATCCGTACGGGTAACGGGTACCCGTTAACCCGTACGGGTTTGGGAATGAGCTAGAGATTGCTCTTCAAACGGGATTGGGTACCCGTTTCAAACGGGACGGGTATCCCGTCCCATCCCGTTGCCCACCCCTACTCAGAATCTCCTGAAGTACTGCAATATTGATGAGATATAGTTTGGCTTATTATGTGCACGTATTAGTCATTGCTACTGGGTTAGTTAACGTTTAGGGTTAGTTAATTAGTAACTTACATGGGCCAAGGTTAGTACATAGTTTGTAGGGCTAGTGGCGGATTGGGAGTCCTCTAGGTTAGGTGGCTGAGTTAGTTAGGTAAGTTAGTAGAGTTCGGGTTAGCTAGGGTTATGTATTAGGTTTAGTTGCCTATATATTATAATCACGGCATTAGTCCTATTTATCAATCAAATCAATAAACAACAAAGGTTTTCAACACCAACATCGTCTCTTGCTTGTGAGTTACAAGAAAAACCCTCAAGTCATGGGCATTGACTCATCAATTGGTATCCGAGCCATGGACCAAGAGGGCGCCTCGGTCGCGCATCGCCTACAGCGTCGGGCCAAGGAGCTATGGGAGCTGGTGCGTACCAGTGGCATACGAAGCGCTGCCCTACACGAGGAATGGGCGCAATTTCACGCCGGGTTGCAGTTCAACCCTAACTGTGCGACTGCAATTTGCGGCAAACTGAGCGATGCCGACGTGGCCCGCGTTGGCGCCAATCAAATCAGGGTGGTTGAGGAGATGAAGATCTTCGTCAACAAGATCAACGGGAAGGAAACAATGCCCAATGGTGACTACCACTTGTGCGAGGTTCTCACCCAACAATCTGGAAGCGATGGAAAGGAAACAGTGTGTTGTGGTGATCACCACCTCGACGAGGCTCTATCCATCTGTTCAGAAGCTGGGAGAAGGATGAGCTCAAAGCTTGAGCTCTCTCAAAGGAAGGAGAAGACCGGGATGGGGAGTTGGAATTGATGGAGGAGAAGATGGACGATGATCTAGGAGGGAAGAAGAGCTGACGACGACAAAGGTTTTCAACACCAACATCGCCTCTCGCTTGTGAGTTACAAGCAAAACCCTCGAATCGTGAGCATTCACTCATCATCTATCTACATCTCTACACAATATATTATGCACTTCACTCTATGTCATTGTTGCCACATTGCACTTTGATTGGTTCTCCTTATTTGGTGGAAGGGCAATTTTGTCCATTTTTTGAATTCTTCAATCACCCAAAGGTCACTCATAATTATTGGAATTTTGGTGTTCTTTTTTGTAAATGCGATTAGGATTAAGGGAAAAACATATTTGTTTTAAGCAGCAGCGGATCCAGGATATAGTAGAGCACTGGACCTCATTTGCATATAAAATTAGATATCATAAAAAAAAAATATAATAACTAGCTATTGTTTTTATTACAATGTCAATTGTACACTTATTATCAATAACAAGAAAATTGTATACGACGGTCTTTCAATTTAGCAAAGTCATCAATTATTGAGTTTTCATCCATACCAATAACATACTCTCTCCTAAATAAAATAGTTAAGCAATCAACTATATATTCATTGGCATTTTGTTTTGCCATTTTAGTTAGTGGTTGAGAAGATGTCATGAGAAAAATTAAATATGAAATTTTGCATTACTGCACAAAATTAGTTATTTGTATCATCAATGAACAAGTATATGAACCACAACACAACTACACAAAGAACAAACATGATCGATAAACTACAATAACATATAAAAAAAATTAAACAACTGTTTTACTGGAATTTTACATTAATGTAGTGTTGTTGCTGGGGAAGAGACGGCAAGTGGGACTGGCTGCTGGCGACTGTGCAGGAGAAATCGAGAAAGTTGGGATGCTACTGCGGAAGAGACCACAATCTGGGCTGCTGCAGAGCGAAATCGCGGCAGAATGGCGGAGGAAGTTGGGTCGTCAGAGGTTCGGAGTAGCAGGAAGAACGCCTCCTGCCTTTGTCCTTGCTGTGAGTTTGGAACTTTGGATTTTTTATTGGGTTAATACCCTAGTTTGGCCCGAAGTTTGACGTAAGTGACAATTCTAGCCCAATTTTTCAAATAAGACATTTGTGGTCTACTTTTGAAACTATTCGACACATTTGGCCCAACCGTTAATATTGACGGTCAAACACTACTCCGTTAGTGACTCAGCAAACAACCACTGATGCGGCGTTTGCAGTGGCAACCGTGGCCTCCACCACCTTCGCCGTCACCACCGCCGCCACCATGGAGATAGTTCGCTCGGATCCTCCTCTTCCTCGCGGCAGCCCTCGTCGGCGTCGTAGTCATCCGCGACCGCAATCCGTCGGAGCATCACGGAGGCGGAAGGTGAACCATCGCGATCTCCCTGCAGTACCCTGGCCGAGACCGCGGACGAAGGTGCTGCCGAGGTGGTCCTTTTCTCAGTAGGACTTGACGAAGCTCCACTGCCTCTTCTCCTTGGGTCGAGCAGCGGTGGTCGCGACATGCTGTTGTTGGGGGGAGGGAATGATCGGAGATCTTGGCCATTGTTTTTTAATGGTGGGTTGGAGAGGGCAATGGTTGTGGAGAATGCAGTTAGATGGAAGAGAGGGATTCGGTGAAGAAGAGAAAGGAGGTGGGGGCGGCGTTGATGCTAATTTAGTTTAGTGAATTTTTTTTTTACAAAAATTTTGTTTAGGGAATTAGTGTTTGGATTTGGGGCTATGAAAATTTTGGGATAATAAAAGAGAATTTCTCAAATTTTATTTTATTTTAATTAAATTACAAAAATATTATTTAATAATGTGGCATGCCACATTAGTGGTTATTTGCAGAGTCATTAACGGAATAGTGTTTGACCGTCAATATTAACGGTCAAAGAAAATTTTGGGCCAAATTTGTCCAATAGTTTTAAAAGTAGGCCATAAATGTCTTATTTGAGAAATGGGACCATAACTGTCACTTATGCCAAACTTCGGGTCAAACTAGGGTATTAACCCTTTTTCATTTTACTTCTATTGGCGCAGGGAAAGAATTAAAGGGGAAGGGAAATCGAGTATTGGGGTTTTGGTTTGGGAGGCAGCGAGAGATGGTTGGGCCCTAATTGAGTCACAGAGATGGGCTTTGAATTTGTGAGGAGCTGGGTATTGTCACCATGCGGAGGAAGGCTGGGCCCGGGCCCAGTGTGGCCTTCCCCTGGTTCCGCCGCTGGTTTTAAGGTAATTGCTATTATAATAATTATTTAGACTTTGCTTTGTGTAGATTTATTTTGTGTGGTTCACGATAAAACTAAGGTTACCTAAAGTTGTTTAGCTCTTGAATGAGAAAATGATTGCCAATTGAATTTCGAGGTGGCGAAGATTATACATTATTGTGGCGTGGATGTTTGGTAAGAGTTCTGTCTGGATAGGTTTTTTCGCATTAAGTTTTACGTTAAACAGTTAAACCAAGTACTTTTTTTTCCTGAGTGATATCAATGGAAAATAATAGTTAAACTTACAATTCTACCCAGGACCCCTAAAAGACTCTAAAGAAGCCACCCAAAAAATCAAAAGATTCTAGCTCTACACGAGACAAAAGCAGTGCTTTACGCGCCACTCTATGGGCAGCACTGTTGGCGGATCTAGGTACCGCCCTAAACTCTATACAAATAGACAAAGAGCTAAGGATCTGAAGACACTCTCGTAACAGCGGACCACCAATCGAGTCTTCTAAGACGCCTTGACGGACTTGGTTGACGACCACTTCGGAGTCACCTTCGACTATCTCGTGGGCCAAGCAATATCCCTTGATGCTGCAACCCGAACGCCAACATCACATGCCCATCTGACCCACGGATAACAAGCCCAGACGAACACCCGGAGGCACAAACAGCTGCGTCGACGTTGAACTTCAAAAAGCCTTCTGGTGGAGGGACCCAAGTGGTGGCAGGAAGGATTGGGAGTAGAGAGCTGCGGGGGGGGGGGGGGGGGGGGAGGGGGAAGAAGAAGATTGGAGATTTCGAGGACCTGGATGAAGAACTGTCTGGCTAGGGTACGGACATGAGGTTGGATAAATTCAAAGGTCACTTTATTTCTAGACTTCCATATTCTCCAAAGTAAACAGACGCATTGGAGAATGTGGAATGGGGAGGTCTCGGAGACCAAGACATGTCGCCACCATAGACTAAAGTTAACAGTCTGGGCGGTCTCAATAAAGTTGCTCAATCCCACTAAAGTCCACAATCTGATGGCTATCTGAATAGTAAAAGTTCAATGCTTTCTCGATGTCTCCAGCGGATAGGCCATCGGTTAAGGCAGTTTACTCCACGAGTTTGAAGGGTCACTACTGTGGGAAGTCTGACTTTGAGGCATTGTCATATGAAGAATCTGAGTACAATTAATATGGTACCAATTAATTTCATAATTATCCAGTGGTCCCAATTAATATGAAAAATGGACAAAGAAGGAAATGTAACTAAATCCCTTAATTAATCACCCAATTCCTCCATGTTTCAAATCCCAGCGATAAAATAGACACTGGATTTGTTTTACTACACTAGCCCAATAATTGATGAGCTAAGTATTCTAAAAAATAATGGGTTGATCAGTGACACTATCGAGTTAATTAGAGGGAAATCGACACCATTATTAAAGGGAGGGCGAGAGTTAATACCCGCACTAATCACAGGCTGGCACCCGGTGAGATACAAAGCTTATGCTTAATCATTTGAATAGCAATTAATTTCTTAATCTGGAGAACCGCAAAGTTAAGAGCCAATAATTACAAGACGAATTTTTAGCTCTGATGAACCAAAATAAGCGCTCACCTCTTTACCTCGGAATTTACTTCCATTGATGGCTAGGATAATGGTCAAGAAAACTACTCAATAAGTCGAAGCGATTAATGCAAAATAATTTCGCCTGAATGGCCATCAACGGTAACTTTGTCGGTGGGGCAGCCACCGTGTTTGGCTGCAATCTCGTAAAATAACCGGACGTGGATACTAAAGTAGCCACCGGAGGAATAGACTGAACCCTTGTGCCAAAGATACTTTGAAAGCCTGAAATTAATTCTGGAAATCAAGAATTAATTCGTTTTATACCATAATTTGAGATATAAACCAACCATTAAAGGTTGTAAAGCGCCATAAAAAGATCGCTTTAGTGACTCATTAATCACTTAAAACGGATCATTAAAGACTCAATAACATCAAATAACATAATAATTGATGTATTAAAACCAAATAGTCGAAACCGACCAATGGGCCATTAATTGGTACTTTATTTTTCGAAGGAGGAAAAATTAATTGCTGCGGCCAGGAAGCGTGATTCTGCTGGCCGTTAGAGCCTTCCCCAGCTCCAGTTCCCCAGCAGAGCTTCTAAAAGCATTGGAGTCGAGGAGGCTAGTGGAGATCAACGCGCCATCGAGGAGGAACAGAACGGAGAAGATGGCAGCCGACGATCGCGATGGCAGCTTCATTAACGGCCGACAGATCGTTTCCAACAATTGACGGGAAGCTCCAGATCCGAACCACCTCTGCAAACTCAGCTGCATGTTTTAGTTTCTCCTCTACCGAACTGGCCGCCGTTCAGCGCTCCGCCACCGCCATGTTGTAAATACCACCAGTATCTTGAGAGCTTGATCAACGAAATCGGGCCAGCATTTGCAAGGCTCTACTGCGAATCGCGCCATCCTGTAAAACTGTCAGCCCCACAGCTGCTGGAATTGGAGATTGGAGTTTGTTATACCTTGTGTTCATTTTAGAATCTTAATTTCACAGTGATTTCGGAAAACATGAAGAGGAAGAAAAATGGAAAATCTTGGCAAGATACAATCAATTTATATTATTTTTAATTCTTTTAATTTTCGAATAAGCATGTCTTTTCCTTACATTAAATTTTGAAAATGTAGGATCAAATGCTTAGTCGTAGGTTAAACAATAATTTCATTCACATTGTATCGAATTGATATTTGGGTCGAATTAGGTCAAACAAAAAATAATTGATTTTTCTAACTATGTGTATTTGCTTAAAGTCGAAGAAAATTGACTGAACGCAACCATATCAAATGTTCTTTTGACTTTTATCTCTAATTTTCACTTATTTTTAGTTTGGTTTTATCATAATTCATTGGGATTGTGGATCATAACAAACCTTCCAATAAGAGATAATTTTTTATTAGAGAAGTATTAAACGTAAAATTTGTTCCAACGGAATAACTTATTTGCTTCTTTAACATAATTACGCTATTATTTATGTCTATACTATTTACATGAAGGAATAGTTCCATTAACGATTCCAAAATAATTGTATAACGACAAACCATTAATCGTAAGTCATTGACATTTTTTCGTCAGACAACCGCTTCGCTTTTGAAAACATAGGATATAGTTAATAGAAAATTTAGAAACATCTATAATTATATTTGGTATAGTAATTCATTTGTAATTCAATAGATGAAAATCTACAACATCTAAATCAAAATAGAGAAATAGTTATATATTAATAAATTTTCAATGCCTCATTTGCAAGTTACTTATTTAACATATAACAAAAATAAAGATCTTTTGTTAAAATTTGTTACTTTGATTCAGTGATGTTTAATATCTCAAGGTATTAATATAGATTTGAGATAGCTTTTCATTTCATTTGTTGTCTAACTTAAGGGGTCGTTTAGAAGTTGCGAATGTTAAATCGTTGCATTGTAATGAATCACCATAATATAAATGCATGTATTGATACAATGGATGCATTTTAACAATACATTGTTTGGTTGTTGAGATTCTACTTTATGCATTGATTTACATAAAGTTACATTTATGGGAAAATGTCATATTTACCCTCAACTTTTAGAATAAGACAAAAACTATTGGGGATATAAATGGAAAGAAAAAGTTGACACAAATCTAAAACCAACAATCACAACAATCTCAACTTTAGTTGAGATTGTATAATGCATCATTTTTTGTGATTGTTGGTGGGACCTACCTAAAACAATGCATGCATTGTTTTACACTTTGGCTCTTCCAAACATTGTATTGTGCACAATACATGTATTCAACAAACACAACTCTAACGAGCATTTCTACTATGCTATATAGTATTGGTGCTTTAATGTACAACTTAAAGTTGTACCATATCATGAAATGTATAAGTTTAGATTGTACCATAAAAGAATTTGTACCATTATGTTGTGGTACAACTTTACAACTTGAAGTTGTACCATCACATAAAGGTACAAGTTCAAGTTGTACCATAAAAGAATTTGTACAAACAGTATAGGTATAATATAAAGTTGTACCATAACGTTAAATGTACAATTTCAAGTTGTACTATAAAGGCAAAAACCTATAGCACCAATACTATATAGCATTGTAAAATTAACAATCACAACTTCCAAACGACCTTAAATTTCTTATGGTTAAGTATAAATTGAAACACCAATTCAATGAACAATATAAAGTTAATGAGCACTCAAAACTCAAAAGCATAAACTATCAATGTATTTTTTCGGGCTACCATTGCACAATACTAAAAATCGAACCATCTATATTTAACTAAAAACTAGTATATATTATTGGAGGATTTGGTTGATGATTTACAAGTAAAATTGAATCCATAAAAAGGAAATTAAACCCAATAGAAAATCAAAATATGAAGGCGGAAGTCCAAATTTGAAATGCACAAAGTCGCGCGATAATTGGCCTCCTGTTTGGATTCTCCTACCCGTTCCTCCATTTCCTTACAAGCTGATCCAGATTCGGGGAGTAGAGGGAAATGGACTCGATCACTTCACCTCCACCATGTCCAAACACTGTCAGCGTACGCCGGAATCCTCCGCGGCGGGGCAGGCCGACGCCGATGAAAGCTCCAATTCCTTCTCAACTGGAAGAACTCCTGCCGACCACGATATCGGATCCGCCACTTCCCACCGTCGCTGATCAAGCTCCGCCGTCCGAGAGTCTGAAGGTCTTCCTCAGAATCAAGCCGATAGTGCGCACCATCACTGCGGCCGCGTGCAAGCAACTAGGAGAGGCCACTAGGTCGAGGGCTAAGAATGCCTGGCCCCAAAACCCTACCGCCAAGAAAAATTCCACAAAGGAGAAGCAGCCGGCGAAGAAGATCGGGAGTGAAATTTGTATCTCGGTGACTGACTCCCACTCGGTGACGATATCCCCGCCGCCGTTGCTGGTCGATTCGAAGAAGATCAAATCTGAGGTTTATGAAGGGTTTTCTCATGTCTTCGCTCCAGATTCCTTGCAGGTATCCATCCTCAGAGTTAGATTCTCGCTTTCTGCAATTGTAATTTCTTATAGAGCTTCTAGTACCTGAAATTGAACATCTGTTTGGTTGTTTGTTTGGAAGAATGAGGTTTACGAGAAGATGGTGAAGCCTATAGTGGATGATTTTCTCGAAGGCAGAAGCGGAATGCTGGCCGCTTTAGGGCCTAGCGGTTCAGGCAAGACTCATACTGTGTTTGGGACTCCAAGAGAGCGTGGAATGGTTCCACTTGCACTTCAGCACATCTTTAAGCAATCTAAGGGCCGGGATTGTAAGTTTTCAAGGTAATTTGAGCCATTCAAGCTTTCTAAGTATTTTCATAGAAGGGATTGGTGGAAGTATGCAATTTTCTTTCCTCCGCTAGTTCTTACTTGGTTGTGTCATCTTTCTAGGTCATTCTATCTATCAATATTTGAAATATATTCTGAAAGAGGTAAAGGCGAAAAAATATGCGATCTTATTCCAGAAAGAGTAGATTCCGGGTTGCAGTCATCTAGTAAAAGAGTTCAAGAGGCAAGGATTACTGCCCATGCTGTATTTTAACTATTGAATGATTTGGTTTCCTTATGTTAATGCGGGCATGATAACGTACATTTTGGTGTATGTGTGAACAGGTTATGGTTTCTAATGCGCCAGAGGCTGAATCCTTGATTGCTTGTGCAATGTTGAAGCGTGCAACAAGCATGACCAACACAAACAGTCAGTCCAGGTGCAATTTTTGTTTGTGAAATAAGTTGAACTTTAGTTGGCGAGGATGGTGTTTTCAACAGTAAGTTTATTAGTAGTTTGATCCCCGGTCAACATTTTCGCAGCCGATCTCAATGCATCATTAACCTACACATGAAACGTGGTGAAGGGAGCAATCAGCCAGATGATGCTGTGCTAACTGTTGTTGACCTTGCTGGAGCTGAGAGGGAAAAGAGAACAGGGAATCAGGTTCTCTAATTGCTACCTTTTGCTTTGTCTAGTTGGTTTTGACTCCATGAAGTCTTGGGTCATGAAGAAATCTGATAGTTGGTGGCATTTAAAGTCAATAGATAGTAAGTTACAGAATGAATGTTGTTCAGCAAAGATTCACTATTGATTTTTACAAAAAAAAAAAAAAAAAGATCCACTATTGATGAGTCAACAGCATTTATGCTTTATGCTAAGAAAGGGAGTTATCTTTTGCTATGAGGTCCACATACTTTGTAATCGTAGCTTCCAAATGGTTATGGGAGCATTTGTTGATTCTTATTGTTACTATATGTTTCCTTTTTTGGGTCATTGTTAGCTTGAGTCTGTTTTGGAACGAGAGATTAAGTTCTTCATTTTGATTTGTCATTGTGGAGATTGAACTTGTAGGACTCGGGATTCAGTGTTACTGGTTGTTATGACATCATAATATGTCCTTTGGCCTCAGATTTTGTTGGTGATTGTGCAGGGGGCGAAATTGTTGGAGAGCAATTTCATCAACAACACTTCTATGGTCTTTGGATTATGCCTCAGAGTATGTGATCTTTATTGATTATTTTGGAGTACTTAGAAATTAAGCAATATTCTCTGCCTTCAGCTTTCTAGAATCGTGTAATTATATTGTCTTTTGCTTCCAGGCATTACTGGAGCACCAGAAGAATCCCAAGAAACCATTACAGAAGCATTTCCAGAACTCTTTGGTAATTCTACAATTTGATGCCTCCTTGGTTTTGCCTTGCCCATTGTCGTGTTTTTGCTTTAGTTCATGTGTTCCCATTCTTGTTGAGTAAGTCTTTCCTGCTTATTTCCATATTGCATTCTTTCGTTTAGCTTGGTGATTCTATGATGAATTGAACAATTTGGCCTCATTCTTGATTTCAGTTAACCAAGTATCTAAGAGAGTATCTTGAAGGCAAGAAGCGGATGAGTTTGGTACTACGCTTCCTTTCCCAGATCCCATTAGATCTCCTCAATCATTCTTGATTTCCGATAAGTTTATCTCATTTTACCCTTAGGCCTCAACTTCAGATACCCGTTCAATTATTGTAGATATTGACAGTGAAGCCAGGGGAGGACGACTATTTGGACACAGCCTGCTTACTCAGACAGGCTTCTCCTTACATGAAAATAAAGCAAGTCCCTAGCTTTTACTGACTGTATTGTGTTTCTATAAATTTAATTATTAGTATCCAGTATTTACCACTAGGGCTTTGAATTTTCAGATTCAACAATATTGAGGATCCAAGTAGTTCTATTTGCAACAAAAGGTCCATTCAGAGTTTTTCCAGGATTGGACAACAGAAAAGAATGAAGCCTAGTGCCATCGATGCTCAGGTATCCATCCCTAAACCGTTACGACTTGCTGTTATATGAATGTGTTCTTAGTGTCCCTAAAGTGAGAGATAACCACTCTTCTCATTATTTCAAATAGACCGAAGAGCCAAAAACCATTGCAGATGGGAATCTACTTTTGCAGGAAGTTCAGACTAATGGTATTGAAGTTGAAATACCCTTGCAATGTTATATTTAGTTTACCTTCTGGTGTCTAGTTTGCATGGACGCCATATTCATTTCATCTTTCTTTCATTCCAGAGGCATCGACTATGGACAAACCAGACTCCATCCGATCTAGTTCTGTAAAGCTGAGCTCCAATGAGTCATTAACAAGGGAGAGAAGCCACATCATTATGCAGAACTTTGCTAAGGCTATATGGAGAGTGTTGAAACAATACAAAGACAAGCTACTGGTAAGTTCAATTAGTTTCCTCTGAAAATCATCTCATGGCGTCTACCAGGTTTTTGTTCGGGGATCACATCTTATTTATCAGACATGTATTTGATAATTAGGTGGCTGAACGGGAAGTTGAAAGTGTAGGTGAAAACCTCAGAAATGAAATGGGCAGGCGCATTGAGCTTGAAAAGGAACTTGAGGATCTGAAGTCCCGATGTACTTGCTCCAAGGAAAACACAGAGCAAGCCACCTTGATCAAAGTTGAGGAGGTAAGAATATGCTGTTTCTCTTCTGCAATGCTAGTAGAACTTTAGATCATTATAGTTAACCGTTCCCCTATATTCCAGGCAGAACGAGTTTTGGAATCCAGTCCTGTTGATTCTCCAAAGAGTACTGAACATGTTTCAGAACATATCTGTTCTGTCCCGGAACCCAAACCTTGCGATTCTCCAAAGAGTACTGAGTCTGTTTCCGAACAAATCTGTTTTGTCTCGGAACCCACTTGTAATTCTCCAAATACTACTGGATCTATTTCAGAACAGATTCAACAAGATACTGACACACTTGCTCAGGTAAGTTTTATAAATTTCTCTTTCCTGTCATAGAATCTAACTTGTCCGAGTAAGTATGATAACAGATAAGTTAGACGAGCTTTCTCCTGTTTCCAGACAAATGCAGCCAAATGTTCACCCCACCAAGCATCTGAAAGCAGTAGCAGCCATCAAGAATCATGCATCAATGAAGTACGTGACGTATGCTCTACTATAAACTTCCACAGTAAATTAAGACATAGCTCAATTTCTATCTCAGAAGAATATCTGCATTTACATTTCCAGATTCTGAATCAACCAGTCTCAGAAGCCTTTCATTTAGTTAATAACCCCCCATCAATACTTGCTTACCCAAGTTAGGCTTTGTTTCATCAAGCAACCTACTCCTTGGCAAGTCCTATTCGGGTGTAACAAGGAACTCGGGACAAAGGAGTGTTTGATATGCTGAACGACTTATGGTATGCTTTATTTGAGCTGTTAGGCAGCAGAAGACCAAATGCCGGGTACTTCTGTGGAGCTTGGAGACGAAGAGGCCGGATGTCTTGATCATAAGCAGGACCTCGTTATCACTCAGCCAGCAGGTATGCCTGGCGAGGAACCCCTGGAATTGCATCCACGCCCCACATGTTTAGAAGAAACTTCAAACCAATCAACTTCTGTTCCAATAGATGCTGAAGTTGAAGACACAGTGGGTTTGAAGAGGAATAAACCTGGCCACTCCATGGCGGTAATTGACCAATCCTCTTTCCCTCATTTACTTTCCATTTTCTCTGTTCAACGCTCTTTTCCTGCAAACCTCATCATTAATAAATGTGACAAGAAAGTGATTTAACATATCAACCTGTATCGACAATGAGAGTCTATACATAGATTAAATGATTGGTTGCCCATGAATGGTCACGAATGAAGCATTGAAAAGCCTTCTTGATGTGTCCATTTTTGACACTTGAGGTTATCATGATGACAAAGTTGTGAAAACGATCGAGTTACTTCAGTACTAAGCATACAAAAGCTTAGTCATCAAGTTTTGAATTAATTTTTGCCTACGTGGCTTTTTTGTTTTCCAGGAACCATCCAACCCACCACAATCTCACGTCAAATCCAGGCTAGCTTCCAGCTTCGAAGATCCCAAAGATGAAATGGGATTGGACAGACGTGGCAAGCCAACCAAACCAGAAAAACCAAAGAGGTTAGCTTCCTACCTTCCCTCATTTTCCCAATCCTCTTCTGATGTGAATTCTCATGTTATTTTGGCCCCACGTATCAGGAGACTATTGCCTGCATCGTCTTCACTATTGAGGGATATGACTGCCTTGGCCATAGATGACGAGCTAGAAAAACCAAAAGTAAGTTGGCACCAGTTAAACTATGTAATTTGGTCACTTCAATCTTTACCGATATGTCGATGAGCTAAGACGATCGTATATACTTACATTATCGCCTCAACTGCAGGGGGTCAGAGGCGGGAAGAAATATACTGTAGATGATGAAACAAAGAGAACTCAGGGTAGTATTTCTCTCCTGCGTTTGCTACAAAGTAACCTTCGACACTGAAGTAGATTCACCTGCATATTAATCATCATCCCTACGTTTTTTTAACTGCTCCTGACCACTTGTCCAGAATTACTGTATCAAGAGCCCCTCAATTATTTCTTCTATGGGAATATGAGATGGGTTAACTATTTATTTTTAGGGTAGAACGAGATGGGTTAACTCTAAGGATGAGTTAATATATATATTCTCATTGGTTTGATTGGGAATTGAGAAGTTACTGTGTTCGAAATTGTTAGTATACCTGAGGAGGAGCACGTGTCTGATTAGCTAGTTGGTAAGATAATAGATTACCAAGGCGATGATCAGTAGCTGCCTAACTGGTACATATAATTTTCATTTTTACGTTTCATGTGCATTGCAAATATGTGATGTTGGATTGAAGAATGTGACCGTGGTATTCATGCTTAATGAACTGAAAACCGTGGGCCGATTTGGCTAGAAGCTAATTGTGCTATAACGCCAAATGATTCATGCTTAATGACTAATGCTTATCTTCTATTCCTATGATAAACAATGGTTTGAAGATAAACTTCTTGTTCTAAACGTACTCGATCCAATTTTTGTCAATCAGTTTTTAAATTGGGTTTACCTCTTCCTCTATTATTTAGGTTATATTGTCCCTGTGGTTTGGTATTAGATAGAAGCAATTCCCTAAATTAATCTGCGAGTATTAAGGGTACTGATTCTCCACTGTGATCTGTACAGTAACTGTGATTATTTACAGGCTTATCGTCATTTCATTGCTTACACTCACTCACTTAGTAACTTTCCCCTTTTTCCCTCGCTAAAAAAAGTAACAAACAAACCCCATATTTCTCACCACGCGCCGAAGGCCGGCGGTGGCGGCGGAGCAGCTGCCGGCGGATGATGCTGGTGGTGACGATAATGGCGAGGGAGCCTGAACCGAACCTGAGAAGCTGGCGACCGGACCGCCACTCCGTGCCAACAAATCCCACCCTTGCACATCTCCCCTCTCCCCGACGCCGCCGATGCTGACCTGTCGTGGCTCTCGCCGGAAATCGCGTACGTGGCCTTCCGCGAAACATCCCACGTCAGCGTGGCAACTAGGATTAACCCCACCACCGCGGTCGACGCGATGAGGACGAACCCGGCGCCGAAATTCCGGCCGCACACCATCCCGTACGCCTTAACCCCTGCAATCGCCACCACGTAGATCGGCGTCAGGTTCGCCGTCACCGCATCCGATATCGGCATCTCTTCCGCCAACAAAAATAATCCGACCCGGGGATTCGAAATTCGGCGCGATTGGGTCGATCGACGGGGAGAAAAAAGGGAAAGGGGTTTAGCGCGGCGGATTTGTGGAGGAAATGGTCGGAGCTAGTGAAGGTTTCTTATAGCTTTGTAAAAGAAGGGAAACAAAAAAGCGTTATTGGGGATCACAATTTTTTGGGGAAGGCGGCACAGAGTCGCTATACAAAGTACGAACAGAGCGCCTTTATCATAACGATTAACACACATCCCGCGTGGTTAAGAGAGAGATGGGGCCGGATAGAGTTTATTGAAGTCTTGATTTTGCAGTAAAGATGATGACGGTGGCCATTTAACTAGTTAGCCGACGACCGGGGGAAAGCGACGGTTGACGGGCCATTTAGCCACTCTGTTGCTGAATGCCGAATTAGGTAGCTCAGCAACATCGTATTTAGGAGTCAAGTTTGCTGGTTGGATTTGAGTCATGGATTTGGGGCTCAAATCCAAGCATTATAGATTTAAGTAAAGTGAAGTCCATTGTTTGTTGTTAGCTGCTAAATCCATGGGTCCACGGATTTGTTCCTTTTTTATACAAATCCATGGACCCCACGGAGTTGTAAATTTCACATATTGGAATGGGATTTGTAAATCCTTGATGACTAGTTATATTTATAACAAATCCATGATAATTATTATTGGGTCGTTGGGGATCACCGTCTAAATCAAAGCCCATGGAGCAAAAGACAGCCCAAAAGGGAAAAGTCCCAATGGAGGTTAAGGCACGGTACGGGCCGGCCCAATGGTCGGTGGATTAGTCGCATGCGTTAACGCCAAGGGATAGTGGGCGTACGGCTGACGGAGCGACACCAATAATGACCATACCTTCACTGACACCACATTAAATGCCGTCGTAAGCGTACCTTTTAAAGGGATACTAGGAATGCGTTTGACAAGACATCAGGTGCTTACACCAACTGCAACAGACTATAAATAAAGGCCAACCACCTCATTTAATGGTACCTGATTTCACTCTCTCTCTCTACCTATTTTTCTCTCTCTAAATACTAACTTAATCATCGGAGAGTGTCCACAGGCCACGCCCCGGACCTTTTCTGCAGGGAACGAAGGGCCTCGATCTCAAGGAACAAGCGGTCTTCTCCTTGGTCTCTATAACCTGCCTGGTACTTTCTAGGCGTAAACAATTTGGCGCCAACCGTGGGGCCGAAGAGATTATCGTTTTCCTTGAGATGTCAGGGGACTCCATCACTCCCATGAAGGAGGTCGTCGAACCAATAGCGTTACACGGTCTGTCTCTTGAAGTCGAAGAAGAAGTGGAGCTCGAGGACAGGGTGAAGAGTCAGGGAGAGCAGATCACGCAGATGCGGAGTAGCATTAGCCAAATACTCTCGCTGATGAAAGAACGGATGAGGCATCAGGAGGATCCCGGTCCTTCCTCTGCGCCGAAGGATAAGGGAAAGAAGAAGGTTTTGGAAGTTGAAGATTCGGAAGACGAGGAAACGAACGACGAGAGGCCGGAAATCGACTTGAGTTTTCTAGAAGAGCACCTACAATCCAACTTCGGGAAAGGAAGCGGAAAGACAAAGGGGCCGAGCATCCTGCACAATCCCCTTTCCAAGAAGCTATTCCGAAACCCGGTCCCGCCCAACTTCTCGTCGTTGGGCCTTCCGGTGTATAATGGAAATACAGACCCCAACGACCATCTGAGCGCTTTCACGTTGAAGATGCAGCTGATAAATGCCACCGACGTCGATCTATGCAAAGCTTTCCCTATAACTTTTGGGGGGCGATTTCGCACATGGTACACGTCTCTCCCCGAAGGAATCATAGACGATTTCGAGCAGTTCGCGACCTTGTTCACGTCGAAGTTCGCTTCCCAGATCCGAAGGCGGCTCACAGTCACAGCGTTGATAAATTGCACACAGGGTGAGGGGGAGACTTTGACAGACTTCTACGACCGATGGAACACCATCGCCTGCGAAATACAAGGCGTCACCCCGAACGTAGCAGCGGGAAGCTTAAGGATGGCCACCAGAAGCAAAGAGCTCCAGAGAGCGTTGATAAAAAAGGAACAAGACATCAAGACCTGGCCAGACTTAGACAATCTGGTACGGAGGGCGATTATGTTGGAAGAGGCCCTGGTGCCGACGGAGCGCGGGGGAAGAGGAAAGGAGATAAAAAGGGATACAGGACACCGCCCCAAAGGGGTCGGTCGCCAGAGCGGCATAACTACAAAGCGAAAGCACGAGCGGGGAAAAACAAAAGGGAAGTGTACGCCGCCAAAAGAGATAAAGAGGACGCCCCGTCCCGAAAGCCTCGAGATGAAAGACCCCTTCATGACGTTCAAAGGCGCCACGAAGCCCCAGTATTTGGAAGATGGTGTGACTGGCACCAGAAAGCTTCACACAACACCACTGATTGTCGGGATTTCCAGATGAGCATGGCGAAGAAACAAGAGTGAACTAGATCACCCTCGCCCAAGCGGCATCGAAGTAGGTCTCCGAGAAGGCCGCGCTCCAGATCGCGAGGCAGAAGATTGAGGTCACCTCGGAGGTCACGGTCTCGGGACCGAAGGGAGAAAGAAAGACTCCCATCGCCACCAAACGCCCCCCCCCCCCTCCGAGGAGGCAACCTCGCATGTATGAAGATGATTTGGAGATAATAACGATCTCTGGGGGAAGGAAGCGTCCGCGGGTAGCGAACAAGGGGGCGTCATGCTTAACGTTGTCATCTGCGTCGATTGCTGAGGTGGTGTTTGACGCGTCGGAATTGGCCAATCCGAAGGCGTCGAGGATCCCCTGGTTATATCTTTCCGCACTGGAAAATACAAAGTTACAAAGGCGCTTATCGACAACGGCAGCTCGGCCGACATTCTATTCTTCTCAACCTTGAAGAGCATGAAGAAAGGCGTGGTAGACCTCCAACCATCCACAACTCAACTTGTGGGCTTCTCAGGGTCGAAATCAAGGTTTTAGGCGCAATCACATTGCGCGTAACAATCGGAGAAGGCAGCATAACCAAGACGAAATCCATGGAATTCTACGTGCGGACTGTCCTTCGGCGTACAATGTAATCCTGGGGCGCAGCTTTCTCTCAACTTTCGGAGCGGTTGCATCTACGTGTCATCAAAGGTTAATGTTCACTGTGGGAAGCGAGGTAGGCTATGTCAAGGGCAACACACAACAGGCACGAGAATGCTACCAGGCCACCATAAAGCAGCTATAGGTAGACTTAGTAGACACAAGAGGGAACACCCCGAGACTGGAAGCATTGGAGGGGGACGTGGCGGTGCCCTTGCGAGAAGAAGAGCCGGAAAAGATGGTGAGCATATCGGCACACCTGCAACCAGAGTTGGCAGCCAACATGATCGACCTCCTCCGAGAATTCGCCGATCTCTTTGCATGGGGACCAGAAGATATGCCAGGCGTGCCGCGTGAACTCGCGGAGCACCACCTCGCAGTAAAGCCAAACACGCGCCCGGTGAAACAGAAGCGGAGAAACATATCTATCGAAAAGCAAATGGCACTGGAAGAGGAAATACAGAAGCTTCTTAAAGCAGGATTCATCGGGGAAGTATGATATCCCACCTGGCTGGCCAATCCGGTGTTTGTCAAGAAGAGCTCGAGCTTATGGCGCATGTGCGTGGACTTTACAAGTCTGAACAGTGCCTGTCCCAAGGACGCATACCCGCTCCCAAGGATTGATCAGCTCATCGATGCCACAGCTAACCATTCTATGTTAAGTTTCCTGGACATGTTCTCAGACTATCATCAGATAAGTCTTGCTGAAGAAGACCGAGAAAAAACCGCCTTCATGACGGCTACGGGAAACTCCTGTTGGATGGTCATGCCTTTTGGCCTGAAGAATGTGGGGGCAACGTACCAACGGATGGTAGATGTGGTGTTACGCCACCAAATAGGGCGGAACGCGGAGGCATACATCGATGACGTGTTGGTGAAAAGCAAAGAGGCGGGGACACATCTACAAGATCTAAGGGAAACGTTCACAAACATGAGAGAGCATGGGTTGCGCCTAAACCCAATGAAGTGTGTGTTCGGAGCGGAAGCGGGTAAGTTTTTGGGTTTCTTAATTACAAAGCATGGAATTGAAGCCAATCCAAAGCAAATCGACGCCATCTTACAGCTCAAAGCCCCGAAAACAATCAAAGAAATACAAGCCTTCAATGGGAAAATGGCAGCCTTGAGTCGGTTCATACCCCGCTCAGCAAATAAGTGCTCTCCATTTTTTCAGATTTTGAAGAAGTCAGCAACCCGCTTTAGATGGAGCGAAGAGTGTAATGAGGCTTTCTTACGCCTCAAGGAGCAACTTTCGTCGCCCCCAGTTCTCAGTGCTCCCATCGCTGGGGAGCGTCTTTTCTTGTACTTGGCAGTCTCCCATCAAGCTGTAAGCTCGGTGTTAGTGAGGAGATCGGAGGATGGCAAGGACCAACCGGTATACTACGTTAGCAAGGCGTTACTTCCTGCAGAGACAAGGTATCTGGTGGTCGAAAAGGCGGTCCTTGCAATTGCTATGACGGCCCGGAAGCTGCGACCCTATTTTCAAGGTCATCCCATCACCGTCTTGTCCAACCTCCCTTTGAAGAAAATACTACAAGGAATGGACGCCTCCGGAAGAATGACCAAGTGGGCGGTAGAGTTGAGCAAACATGACATCTCTTACGCTCCCAGACCAGCTGTGAAGGCCCAAGTCTTAGCGGACTTCATTGTTGAGGGTTTTACTCTTGACAAGGGAGCACATGAAGGTGATGAAGTGTGGAAGTAGATGGGTCAGCGAGCAAAAGAGGTGCGGGAGCGGGAATCGTCATCGAAACTCCGAAGGAGTTGTCCACGAAATCGCAATGCGTTTCGACGCCCTGAAAACAAACAACGTTGCTGAGTACGAGGCGTTAATAAATGGGATGAAGTTAGTCGCGAGCATGGGAGCAAAGACGGTGAAAATTTACTCCGATTCGTCTTTAGTGGTGGGGC